ACCATTTTTCTTTGCCTCATTACCACCCGGCCAAGATTTTATTTGCCCATTAAATGGCTCAACATGCAATCTTGCATGATTTCAACAAAGCAATCTTAGCCCACAACTAGCTAGGTTGGTAAAGCAAACTTCCACACAAAAAGTCCATGGGTTCACACATGGGGTTGGACTTTCTTCCAACAATCTCCCCATCCAACCCTATGGGGGGAGAAACCAACCATGACTGCAGCTCCCCCTGCTCAAGAGCACTTTATCATGGTGTCCTATTTTTGAAAGTTTCCTCTTAGTATAGGATAGAACAAACCTACACTAGATGTACTATGGAAATTAATTTTGAACCAAAATATGATTCGAGGGAAAATCACACCTCCTCAAACCATCATCAAACACCACTTCATTATTGAAGCTCACTTTCTTCTTGGTCTTATAAATTTCCTATCTTAGTATAGGATAGAACAAACCTACACTAGATGTACTATGGAAATTAATTTTGAACCAAAATATGATTCGAGGGAAAATCACACCTCCTCAAACCATCATCAAACACCACTTCATTATTGAAGCTCACTTTCTTCTTGGTCTTATAAATTTCCTTGCCATCTACCAAGATCCCTTTAAGCTTCCACACCATCTTCCTCATGGTTTTGTTGAGCCTTCTGTCAAGATGTTACTCAAGCACATAGATGTTGTGCTTGTTCTTCCTCCCACTCAAGACAAGTCTTCCACCTTTGTAGACCTTGCACCATTCTCGCTTTCCGACATACTTGCATCCTCGTGTTGTCAACTCACTCAAAGCAATAATGTTGCTTGAACACTTGGGCACATATCATTCTTGAGAATCTTGGCTCTCCTATTGTGAACATTGAGACAAACATCTCTTATGCCTTCAATATTCACCTTCTCGCTGGTAGCCACTGTTATTTTGCCAAGCTCCCCCCGAACCAAACTCCCAAATTCTGAAGGATTATTGCACACATGCATGGTTGCAGCGGAGTCCAAAATCCATCTTTGATTGTTTTGCTCCACTTCAGGATCACACTCTTCACAAGCTAATACTTCAACCATATTTTCTTCAACAATATTAGCCTCCCCCTTACCCTTGGTTTCTTGACTTTTCATCAATATTTTCATATTAGAAAAGTCCTCCTTAAACTTTGGGCATTTATACTGTTTGTGACTCAATTCACCACAATAAAAACACTGCACTTTACCATAATCCTTCTTAGGTCTGGATTTCGACCTTTCTCGATTTCCTCCACCTCCACGTCCATTGGATCTTCCCCAAGAGTGCTCCATCACTAAAGCATTAGTTTGATTGACACCATCATCCTCCCCAAGAAACTTATCATTCTCCAACAACATGGATGTGACATCTTTCATCACCAAGGTAGTCTTACCCACTAGCATGCTCTGCACTAGGGATTTGTAAGACTTTGGAAAGGATGCAAGTAAAAGCAAAGCTTTTTCCTCTTCTTCTAGAACATCCCTGGCATTCACTACTTCTTTCACCATCATGTTGAAATCAGATAAGTGCCTGTGAATATTAGTGCCTTTTGCCATCTTCAATTGATATAGCTTCATCTTTAAACACAATCGATTGGTTAAAGATTTTGAAGCATGTATCTCTTCAAGCTTTCTCCACATGCCTATTGGAGTAGTCTCTGAAAGGACGTTGTATTTCACCTCCGGTGCAAGCGCTAGCCGAATTTGACTTGCTGCCTTCTTTTGGATAGTACTCCAATCACTATCCCTCACCTCAGCTGGCTTGGTCCCTTCTAAAGCTGCATCAAGTCCTTGACAAGTAAGGACATCCTTCACAGTGCTTTGCCATAGAGTAAAGTCATTTTTGCCATCAAATAGCTCAATTGAATACTCCATGGCTTCAGTTTGCATTTCGCCACAACACCAGGAGCTCTACCAATAGCTCTGATACTACTTGTTGGGAATTTCGAGCACCACAATCCCACACAAACGGAAGCGATAAAGAAATCAAGACAATAATTTAACGTGGTTCGACTTGTACACCTCTCAACAAGTCTACGTCCACGGGAAAAAGAGAAATAAATCCACTATTAAGAAAAAAAAGTACAATAATTTGAAAGTTCTCTCACTCAAGAAGCACTCAACACCCTAGCTTCAAGGTATAGAAACTCCCAAATTCTCATTAATACTCCCTCTTAATCTACACAAGGATTTCTCACAATTTCTCTCTTTCTTTTCTCTCACAAGAGCTCTCACTTAATTTCTCTTGCTTTCTCCTACTCTTGCTTGCCCATTGCCTTTGCATGCATGGGTATTTATAGTGAAAAATCCAATTACCCATGCACCATTTTTCTTTGCCTCATTACCACCCGGCCAAGATTTTATTTGCCCATTAAATGGCTCAACATGCAATCTTGCATGATTTCAACAAAGCAATCCTATCCCACAACTAGCTAGGTTGGTGAAGCAAACTTCCACACAAAAAGTCCATGGGTTCACACATGGGCTGTTATTTTGCCAAGCTCCCCCGAACCAAACTCCCAAATTCTGAAGGATTATTGCACACATGCATGGTTGCAGCGGAGTCCAAAATCCATCTTTGATTGTTTTGCTTCACCTCAGGATCACACTCTTCACAAGCTAATACTTCAACCACATTTTCTTCCAACAAAAACCAGCCTTCAAAACAGGTAAAGCCTTAGACTAAAGAAAGAGAATAAAACTAGTGTGCAAAAAAGAACAGGCACAATTTCATTGAGTATGAAGTATCAACAACCTCTGTGATTGGAGTGTCAAGAACTCTCTTGGGACCCTACTTCCGCAAGAAATCTAATGCAAGGTGGACAATAGGTTAGTATTGGAACAAAGGAAACAGAAAGACAACGAAGGAAAAAATTGGAGAGGAAATTTTAATTCTAACCTTGAATGCACCCTGAAATTCACCAACCTGGCAACCTGCAAAATAGCAGAGAGGAAAAGATAATACAAGGCGACAGGTGAACAAGTTTTATAAGCATAGAAGAAAATTTTAATTCAGTAGTACCTCTTCCCCCATTAGAAAGACATTAGGATCTGTAGACATTTCTTCATCTAGTGCAGAATTGAGAGCTTCTCCTATTGTCATCTGCAACAACATTGGCAATAAGATCAGGACGACATGCCTCCCATGATTTAAAAAATTAACAAGCAAAAACTTATTTTAACAAAATGAATCCGGTTGTAGAAGGTGAGGATAAAAATTGAGGCATAGGGTAGGTACTTATGATAATGTATACAAGAAGGAATTTCAAAATCAGACAGGAATCATAATCAGCATACACAGAAACAAGGAACACGAATCACATTCTAAAGACAATTCACAGCTCTTGAGCCAAAGAATAGAAGGATTTTCGGCATCAGAATTCAGAAACCAAGAAAAGTAGCAAAATGCGAGCCAAAACAGAATCAGTAAGTTAACACTAAACAATACCACCGTACTGCGCGAAACAGAATTGCATCAATTTAATTAACTTGACAAAACATGTAAATGACGCGAAGATGAAGTAGTACCTGTTTTGCATCAGCGGAGTAAGTTGTAGATGCACACAATGCAGATCGTATCCTCTGCAAATCGGAGAGAAAAGAGAAACAATGTGCATTAGAATTCTAACGTATAACGTGTTATCCAAAAAACTAGTCCACAGTCCATACTCACCAAAGCAGAGGAGGCTCCACCGCCAACGGTTTGCCTAATATCTCCGAACGTATCCCCTGCGTCGCCTTAAAATCGATTATGTGTTCCGAGTGCTGTTTAGAATTTGCAGGAAAAGGAGACGAGATTTGAGATTTCATTGAGTGAGAAGTAAAATCTGGAGTGGAAGTGGCGGTACGGCGAGATGAAAGTGACGGAGGCTAGCGAAATGGCGGCTGAGGAAAGGAAAGAGACTAGCTAACGATGGCCACGACCACGCGAGCGAGTGGAATACGGGAAGGCCGAATTATGTTGGATTTACACGTAAGTGTCTTCTTTTAAGGTAGAAGTCATCGCACCACTACTTATCAAAATTAATTTTTCTAAATATTGTTTTATATGCATTATGTTAATATAAAATCTGCATAAAAAATTATTTAGAAAAAAAAATAATTTTAAATATATTTGATTTAAGGAGAATAAAAGGGAATAAATTTTTTAATTAATTAAATTTTAATATTTTAATTTAATTAATAAAAAAATTTCTCATTTTTTTTGAGAAATGATTTTTATACAACTCTTTTATCTTATATTTTTATACAACATGACGTGTTATTAAAATAATTAATTCTTTTAATTTATATAAAACTCATGATATTGAATGTATCAACTCATTTAATGACATATAAAAATTGTATGAAAATGTAGCATAAAAAAATTGTTCTTATAGCACCACCCCTCTTTTTTATTCCTTTTAACTTAATTATATAATAAATTTAAGTGTATTTTTACCATAAATACTTAAAAAAATTGATTCTTGAGCGTTGATTACTTTAATTAAATATGTACATTACAATACTTTAAAAACCCAAAGTGACTTTTAGGATAAAAAGGAGAAAATGCTATTACACCTAAGAGTATTTAGTTAAAAAAAAATAAAGAAGAAGAGAAAAG